TGCAAGATACCTGAGTCCCCTGGTTCTGCTTATGAACCCTGGAGAGGGGAGAGGGAGAGGAGCAACAGGAAGCCAGGAGGGAGGAAAAGAAGGGTGGTGGGTGGGTGGGCTGGGGGGGAAACCTCTTAAGCCCCAGTGTGACCTGGCCTGCTTTAACCTGGAGTTAGGATTCCGGGGCTTTGACCTGGGATAGAATGGAAGGAGAAGCTGAAGGGAGCAGCCAGAACAGGAGGAGAAACTAGAAGAGTGGCTTGCCTGTAACTTGCCGGTGAAGGTTAAGAGAGACCATGAGAAAGAAGGCAGAGGAAAGGGAAAATTATGTACAGGGACAGGCAACGGAGCAAGCAAGACAAGGAGGAGAGAGCTGATAAGACAGATGGAGGGTGAAGGGTGAAAGGAGAAGGAAAAAAATGGAGCAATGGGGAAGAGATGGGAGGGGCCACAGGGAGGAGGCTGCTCTGCCTGGTTTATCTGCGCCTTGCTCCCTAACTTGCCCGCATCCACAGCTGCCCCCCCAAAAGATGTGCAGTACCGGAACCCCTGTGGTTAACTCTCACTAGCTTTCCCCACTCTGCTCTCTTGAGAGAGAGAGACACTGCTAGGGTGTGGGAGTGGAATCAAGGGGTATATTTGGGGGAGGGAACACAGGCTGCCCAGCTGGGATCAAGTCACCTCTGAGCCCCCATTCTAGGTTTGGCTCTAGTGACAGCCCTGTGAAAGCCCACACATCAGCCTCTCAGCTGTTGCTAGGCTCCGTTGCCATGGTAACCACCCAGGTCCCATTTCTCCCCCGCCCCCATCTGTGCCCCACTTGCTCCCTAGAAATGGGGAGCTCCAGGGTGGAGAGGAGACTGTAATGTGCCAGAGCTGGGCTGCCCTGGACTCTGACCACCTCCATGTGTTTATCTTTGCAGCTTCAATTAGGACGGTATGGGTGTTGGTAGGTGTGTGTTTTAGGTGTTGGGGAGCTTTATTGTGTACTCGAGGAAGTGTGGCTGAATCCATATTGCACACAATGGTGAGTGGGGAGGAGGAAGCCTATTTCTCAGGACCAGAGCAGTATGTGTAGTCAGAGGATCAGACTCCCTAAGAAAAACAGACTGTTACAGAGGAAAAAGGCAGAGCGGGGCCAAGGAGTGATGAACCAACTAAAAGCAGAGGTGCAAAGCCAACAAGCTGCTGAGGAGGGCTCACAGTCAACCTAGTGGGACCTGAAGAGATCCCAGCAGGAGCTGGGGGAAGGGAGAGGGCTGGATGGAACACGAGGGTGCAGGAAGAGGTGCTGAGGACATGGGGGGG